AAGAAATATTTCTTATTATTATCAATATTGAAAACAGTTGTGCTGCTCATATTTTTGTGGAAACGGTAATACCCTTTTCAGGACTCTTTGATGAATAGAAAGTCCAATAGAACAGCGTTTATTTGAAATAAAAAAAGTTTTTTGGCCAATTTAATGCATCCTTGCTGAATAAAAGTATTGATTTCTTATTTAAAATAAATAAATACAAGTAATATTTCTCATCAAATATCCAAAAACAAGGTGATGAGGGGTGAGGGTGCTACATTTGAAATAGCATACTAATATTCTATTTTTGCAGTATGTTGTACAGACTGTGCTTAGTATGTGATTTTTATTTATTTTTTGGTGTATATTGAATATTTCGATTTCCAAACACATTTGCCCTTTTAGAACACAGGTCTCGTAAAGGTTAAAAACAAAACAAAATGTGCTTTTTACAACCTGATTGCGTGCAATACTGTATCCCATAATATGACCCTCAATGATCCTCTATTTTGTCAAATGAGTAGGGTACAACAGGGCTAAAGGCGCCCCGGGGGTAAAAGGCGCCTTTGATATTATTTACATCTAAACCACTAGATGGCACAAAAACGTGGCGTGGCACTTTCCAAATCATTTGCTTTTCAAGATGCACGCATATATTTGTCTGAGCTTTGACTTGCGCGATCGCATGCGCAAAGTTGATTCTGTGCTTACTTGATCTAATATTTGATGTTTTTTTAAATGTTGTAGATTTAAGTAGTGACTGTATGTGTAAGCTGTCACAATGGAACCTGCCAGTAAACAGTGGCTTTTCAGCAACAGTTAAAAAAAAATGTATAGGGGTACAATGGGGCTAAAGGCGCCTTTGATATTATTTTCATCTAAACCACTAAATGGCACAAAAACGTGGCGTAGCACTTTCCAAAAGCTTTTCAAGATGCACGTGTATATTTGTCTGAACCTTGACGCAAAGATGATTCTGTGCTTACTTAATCTAATATTTGATGTTTTTTTAAATGTTGTAGATTTAAGTAGCAAATGAGAATCTCTCAAATTAATGCATATATTTTGAGACAAAGGTCTTCTTAAAGATTTTCAGTTTTTTTAAAATAACAAGAATATTTCAAAGTATGGTATTTGGGGTAAAAAGCGCCCCTGCTGTTGGGGCTAAAGGCGCACAGTAATTAACATGATAATTAATAGATGGCTGACTTTTCCATGACATGGTTAGATTCAGATGGTAAATATCATATATTATGTTGGGTGTCCATATTAGAGATAATCACCATGTTTAGAATGAATATGATATTAATCATATCATATAATAAAATATAATTTGTTGTTACTACTGTAAATATATATTCAATTATTATTGGATCTCCTTCAATAC